GGAGCGGGCTGTGCGCCGGGCGGGCGGGCGGCGGGGGGGCCAGCGGCCGCGGCCAGGGGGACGCGGGAGGATGGAGCAAGTGGAGATCCTGAGGAAATTCATCCAGAGGGTCCAGGCCATGAAGAGTCCGGACCACAACGGGGAGGACAACTTCGCCCGGGACTTCATGGTGAGTCTGTCCCCTGGCTGGGGTCCGCCCTGGCCGGCGCCGGAGCCCCCCGCCGCGGGCCGCCCGTGCTTTGTGTGAGGCTGTGCGGAGAGGGGCGGAGGGCGCGCGCCGCCCGCGGGCCGAGCGGTCCGGGAGGCCGCGGGGAAGTGAGGCCGTCTCTGCCCTTCGGCCTCTGGGCTTCCCCCGCATGCGCGACCCCTCGGCGGGCGCCCGCGGCTCGCGGGGGGCGGCCGCCGGGCCGAGCCCGCACCCGGCACCGCCGCCCGAGACCACCTATTGTTTCTCCGGTCGGGAGAGCGAGCGAGACGTGCGAGGTGCAGGCCGGGCGGGAGGGGCTCCTTCCCGCACCTCCCGCCCGCTCCGCTCTTCCCGGAGGGTCGAGGCGGGATGTCTGGCTGTGACCCGGAGGAGAGCGGATCGCGGCTGGCGGAGAAATGGAGGGTTTGAGGTTGTTTGGCATTAACTCGTAGGGTCTCTTTGCTCAAGCTAGTCTCAAAGTGGGAGAGGTAGGACCTGTGCCGTTTCTGGGTTGGGAATTATTTCCAACGCTTGGGAAAGGATTGTCCGTGAGGAATCTCGGTTTGCTTAATTTCCGTTTGCCCCCTGTCCAGTCTCTTCTCCCTTGAGACTCAGGTTTGGGGGGGGGGTCTTGAGGTTAACTTAACTTTAGGTTTGGGCAATTGTGGATAGGAGGTTATCCTGAAGGAAGCCTATTTCGGACTCTGTAGGGGATATCGCGGAAGGCGGAGGGGATGTGACTATTACTTCCTATCCGGGGTGGGGGTAGGGAACTTGGGAACAATAGTCCTGGTGGGGCGGAGGCGACGATACGGGCCCAAGCCCTGAACTGGGAGATAACCTTCCCGGTGCCTGTCCCACCAACCCCCGCCCTTTCTGCCTTCTCCTTATGCAGGCTGACTTGAGAGGAGGTGAGGGTTAAAAGTCTTGTTCCTGAAATTGCACTAGATAATGTCTCTGTGAGGGGGTCAGATCCGAAGGCGTGGGACCAGAAGTCCATTTCCTACATTACCCCCCTCCCCGCCTCTTTTATTTTTTGCTGGACAATGTTCCCTCCAGGGTTGTTTCCCGGCTTAGGAGGCGGCGGTTGCGGCTGCTGCTCCTACGGATATTGCGCAAGACTGGGGCGTTGGAAACCCTGGAGGTCTGGGGAATGGAAAAGGAAGTGGGACTTTGGGAAGTGGTTTCTCCTTAGCCTTGGTGAGGGGTTGGACAGGGGAAATCAGCTAGGGAAAATTTTGATCCTAGGCAGAAAAGTACACCTCCAAGAATAATCACTTAACTCTGAAGTTTGATTGTAAATTGAATACATAGTTAATAATGATAAAATGAATGGGCAGCAAACATTGCCTAGCTTGTATTTCAAAGTACAGTCTACACCTCAAGGTGCAGGTGAAATATTACTGAAATGCTTTTTTCACATTTTAAATAGAGTTGCGTCTAGTAAAGCTTTAGCGTTAAAATTTTGGTGGTTTATAAAGTATTAATAGATCCTTGGTCTTACACAGTATTGTTACAGTATTGTTGAGCTGTGTGATTTCTGCTTCTCAGACCATTAATAGAGGATACAAGTTAAATGATCTGTTTTTTATTTGTAAATATTTTCTCTTGTTATTTAGCCTGTGTATTTTTGAGAAACTACTTTTTGATCTGAAAGGCCAAAGGAGAGGACATTTTTTCCCTTCTTTACTATTAAGAATTTCTATAATATTGGTACTTTTTGACTGGTGTCATTTATAATAATTGGATAAAGTCCCCTTCTAGCAAAAGTAGAAGAAAAATAACTTACTTAGAGTATTTAAGATGTGTAAAACAAGTCTTTTACGATCTTACTTTGGTTATGGAAGAAGAGGTAGTATGGTCTTTGGTCTTTGTATGCTAGACATCTTGTCATCCTTGGGCACTATCCTGTCAGGAAGGAGCTTTGTTTGGTGATGCAGGCCATCAGGACAGGTGCAGGAGTCTCTGAACTCCTGTACAGAGGAAGTAGCCTTAGGGTTCATGCTTTGGGGATGAGTCAGGAATTCCTATTGGAGATTTCATTTTTCAGAGACAGAAAGGGTCTCCTTTTCCTTTCCTCATAATATCTAGCTATAGTGAGGTGATTCTGTTATACATTGGAGATTTGATGACTAAGGCTATTCTTTTATAATGCTTACTCTTTTTATTTCCTGACTTGATAAGCAACAGCTATAATTAAGGTGCCTGTTTGATGGAGCTTTTCCCCTTGACTGGAGGGCTGGAGAGGATGTCCCTCTGGTATGAAAGGAAAAAAAAAAAGATCAGCTGATAGATTCTGACTGTTCTGTTATTCTTAAATTCTAATATCAATTAAAAATGCATTTTTAAATTTTAACATTTCAAAACTCAGCATTATAATCTGGCTATTACAACCCTATTCCACTATAAAGTAATATTTGTTCCAGTTTGGAAACAAATAGAATAATAGATGTCTTACACATAGGAAAGTGGAGTGGGCATTTCAAACTGTGGTCTAACTCAAAGCATAATGCTCTTTCAATTTTTCTATGTAGACATCTTAATGTACTATATCCAGAGGCCACCTCAGTTCATGATTTTAATATTTCTGTGTGCCATAGCTTTACATATCATTTTGTAATTCTTGTTTTTGTAACTTAATATTTTGTTAAGTTTTTTATTAATTATAACTGTTTTGTAAAACTAATTTTGAGTAGCCGTATGATATTTCACCTGGTGACTATTTTGTATTTTTACCCTTTATTGTCATGATTGAATGTTTACGCCATTCTGTCTTTTGCTATTATCTATAATAATTCTGTGACTAATATTTATGGTGAAACTTATGTATTTTTTGGTCAGGTGTGGTGGCTTACGCCTGTAATCCTAGCACTCTGGGAGGCCAAGGCAGGTGGACTGCCTGAGCTCACTGGTTTGAGACCAGCCTGAGCAAGATTGAGACCCCATCTCTAAAAATAGCCACTTGTTGTGGCTGGTACCTATAGTCCCAGCTACTCCGGAGGCTGAGGCTAGAGAATCACTTGAGCTCAAGAGTTTGAGGTTGCTGTGAGCTATGATACCATGGCACTCTACCAAGGGCGACACAGTAAAATTCTGTCTCAAAAAAAATTCTGTATTTTTCACTATTGCATAAGATATCTTTTTGGTAAGATAAGAGGATATAAACTTTTAATACATATTCAGAAATAACTTTTTGAAAAAGTTGTGTCAGTTTATACAACTGTCAGTAATACGTGACTATTCATATCACAGTTATCTTCATTTGTATTTGATGTTGAAAATGGTGTCTTGTTTTATTTTTATTTATTTATTTACTTTGTTTAGAGGCAGAGGTCTTGCTCTGTCACCCAGGCTAGCGTGCAATGGCCCGATTGTAGTTCATTACAGCTTCAAACTCCTAGGCTCAAGCAATCCTCCTGCCTCATCCTCTCAAGTAGTTGGGACTGTAAGAGCATGCCAGTACAGCCAGCTAATTTGTTTTTTGTTTTGTTTTGTTTTAGGGACAGGGTCTCACTATGTTGCCCAGGCTGGTCTCAAACTCTTGGCTTCAAGGGATCCTCCTGCCTTAGCATCCCAAAGTGCTGGGATTACAGATGTGAGCCACAGTGCCCAGTGGTATCTTATTTTAATTTGAATTTATCCATTGCTGTTGAGGATCGAAAATTCTCCACATGTCATTAACTATGAGTTGTCTATTCCTGGCTTTGGCCTGTTATGTCCTTATCCTCTTAAAGATTGTGTAAAAGTGTGGTGCCCAGATTGTTACACCTTGAAAACATGATAATCTTGCTAATAAACAAATAGCAAATAAATAGCTAATTTGTGGAAAATCTAGAACTTGATCTCAGCTATCTAAATCGTCATAAAATGCTGAGATTATGATCATGACAAGTAAATGTAAAGTAGGGTGGTAAACATTCATGTTTGACAGATCTAGGTTTTACTCAACACAGACTCCTTGAAATGGTCTTGAGGGGTGGAACCATATTTTGAATGAGCTAATATATGGTAAAGGCTAAAGGTGATGCTCCGAAAGGTAGAGTTCAGATTGTGAAGATTCTTATATCTATGCTATATTTAGATTTTATTCTATAGATTGGTCTATAAACTGGACAGTTTTGTACCACAACTCTTGGAGTCACAGGGAAGGTAAGGTGTTAAGAAAGTAGACTTGCTGACCCAGCACTCAAACAGTGTCTGCTCCCACCTTATCTCTACCTGCTTTTTGAGATTTATTGTGAGCCTTTAATTATTCAGATAGGTTCTGGTATAAAAGTTGAGAATCCCTACTCTATATCTCTGGAGAGCCACTGAATGGTTTGGGTAAACAGGCTGGGCACAGTGGTTCTTGCCCATACTCCCAGCTTTTGGGAGGTGGAGGCTAGAGGATTGCTTAAGGCCAGGAGTTTGAGACCAGCAACATACCAACACCCTGTATGTATTTAAAAAAAAAAAAAAAAAGGCAAATTTTTTTTAAAAGAAAGGTATAACAGTTGTTTTACACACAGTCATTTGTGTTGTAGAAAGTTGATTCTGATGGCAGGATGGTAGAATTTGTGAAGCTGTTGAAATATTAAGTGGGATGTTGAGGGCCTAAAGTAGAACTAAGAAGGAATAGAGAGCATGCAGTGGCTCTGATTAGGATTTAGAAAGAACTCTCCATGATTCACTAGATGTGGGTATTAATACAGAAAAAAATGTAGTAGTGGGGTTTCTAAGATTTCTAGCTTGGTAAACTTGCTCAAGTGTAGAAGGCACCATTTGGTAGCATAACGAGTAAGACAGGAGAAACAAGTAGAGAAGACCAAACAAGATTGTGGGAGGAAGTTCCAAGGGAGAGGAGGATGAATTTAGTTTTGGACATGTTAAAACTGAGGTGCTGGGCGGCGCCTGTGGCTCAAAGGAGTAGGGTGCCGGCCCCATATGCTGGAGCTGAGGGGGGTTCAAACCCAGCCCTGGCCAAAAACAAAAACAAAAAACTG